CTCTTTCTCTCTCTCTCTCTCATTCTCTCTCTCCCCCCCCCCCCCCTGTCAATATAATCTTCAAGCTTATTACTCTCGCTTTGGCCTTTCCTTTCTTCTCTGTGTTATTGCGTTCTTTATTTTCCTTTTTATCTATTTGTCTCTGTTTATGGTCTGTTTCTTTCTTTTTATCTTTTATTTTGTGTCTTCCTGAATCTAATATCCTCTTTTTTCTTTCTCTTTCCTTCTCTCGCTTTCTCCTTTCATTGTGTCTTATATCCATTCTTTATCTTTCTCCTCCTTCCACTTTCTTTTATTCACTCTTTCTTTATTTCTTTTTAAACTTCCTCCCTTCTTTATTCTCTTATACCCTCCTCGTCTCTCTTCGTTTTCTTCTCTTCTCCATTCCCTCTTCTTCCTCTTCTCTCTCTTTGTCTCTCTCTCTCTCTCTTTATCTCCCATTTCTCCTCAACAACTCTTCTTCGCATTTTTTCTCTCTTCCTCTCTCCCTTTTCTTCCCCTATTTTCATCTCTTCTGCTTTTCCCACTCCTCATAATTCTCTCCTCCCATTCCCCCTCTCCTCCTCCTCCTTTTTCTCTTCTTTATCCCTCTCCTCATTTTCTTTTTCCATTCCTCTTTCTCCTTCCTCTTTTTTCCTCCCTGTTTCCTTATCGCCCTCCTCTCTTTCTCTCCTTACTCCTTCGTCCCATTTCTCCCCATTTCTCACCCCCCCCTCATCTTCCTCTCCTCTCTCCCTCTCCCCAATTTACTTTCACACTCTCCCTCCTCATTTTCTTCTCCTCTCTCCCTCTCCCCAATTTACTTTCACACTCTCCCTCCTCATCTTCTTCTCCTCTCTCCCTCTCCCCAATTTACTTTCACACTCTCCCTCCTCATCTTCTTCTCCTCTCTCCCTCTCCCCAATTTACTTTCACACTCTCCCTCCTCTTAATCCTCTCCTCTCTCCCTCTCCCCATTCCTTCCCATTCTTTTCTCTCCCATTTCCACCCCAACAGCGATCATAGCCCATTTGGGGAAGCGGAGAAGCGCTCTACATCCTCTCCATATTCTCTTCCCCCCCCCCTCCTCTCCCTCTCCCCCCCCTCTCCCTCTTTCTCCGCCCCTCTCCCCTCTTTCTCCCGCCCCTCTCCCCCCTCTCCCTCTTTCTCCGCCCCTCTCCCCTCTTTCTCCCCCCCTCCCCTCTCTCTCTCTTTCCCCCCCCCTCCCCTCTTTCTCCGCCCCTCTCCCCCCTCTCCCTCTTTCTCCCGTCCCTCTCTCTCTTCCTCCCCCCTCCCCTCTTTCTCCGCTCCTCTCCCCCCTCTCCCTCTTTCTCCCCCCCTCTCTCTCTCTCCCTCTCCCCCTCCCCCCAGCTCTTCACTTTCTACCCCTGTGACGTCATTAGGCTAACAAGTGAAGGTGACATAAAATACTATATAACCTCTATGACAGATTTTCTTCATTTGGGGAACGAGGAGGGGGGGGGTATAATTTATTTTATATGTATATTTTTTCTTTCTTTCTTTCTTTTCCTTTTGTTTTAGATATGGTGGTGGATTTTTTTTTTTTTTTTTTTTTTGTCTTTTTTTTTTTGTCTGTCTCTGTTTTTTTGTCTATTCGTATGAATGTCTCTGTCTCTGTTTGTTTGTTTGTCTGCCTGACTGCCTGTCCCTTCCTTTCTCTCTCTCTCTCTTTCCTTCGCTTTCTTTTTCTTCCTATCTATATAATCATATATATATGTATACAATTAATTAATCTAATTGCCGACAGCGTTGATGGCATTTTTATCTTTCTTCCTTACTTGTGGTATCTTTTTTATCAATTATTACTAGCGCAAAGACCCCCCCCCCTAAAAAAAGGAAAAAAAAAAATCATCCCTCCCCCCGTGCTCTCCTTCCCCCTCCCCTTCCTCCCTTAACCCCCCCCCTACTCGCTACCCCCCCCCCCCCCACTCGTATTATCACCTTTCACCTCTCCCCTCTTCATTCCCCTCCGTCTTCGCCCCCCCCCCTTGCCCCAATACTGCCATCCCCCCCACTCTCAGCCCCCCCCCCTCTCAGCCAACTCTACTCCTAGTCCTTCCAATCCCCTCCCCCCAACTCTACCCCAACTCTCCCACTCTACCCCTATTCCACCCCACCCCCCCACCCCCCAACCTTCCACTCTCACCCTCGCCCCTAACCTCAACTCCCTCTCCCCTTCCACACCCATCCCTACCCCCCCCCTTCCACCCCAATTTCCAGCCCACCATCACCCCAGTCCCCTCCCACTCACACCCCCAACCCCCCTTCATCTCCCAACTCCCATTCCCTCCCTCATCCCGGTTCCCTCCCTTTCCCTCCCTCACCCCCCTCCCATCCCCGGCTCCCTCCCTCACCCCTTCCCTATCCCACCCTCACTCCCTCCCCACTCCCACCCCACCCCACCCCCCACTCCCACCCCCAACTCCCTCCCTCACCCCTTCCTTATCCCACCCCCACTCCCACTCCCACTCCCAACTCCCTCCCTCACCTCCACCTTCAC